AGCGTGTGTCCTGGAGTGTGGAGCATGAGATCAATGAGATCTTCGCAAGTAAGTAGCATATGCTCAGTTGTTTGAACCATTTCATTCAGTTCATGACTCACTCACCTGGTCGATCATGCACTGACAGAGTGACTCACGGATTGGAACACGTCTCTAACTGCTCAGGGCTGCTCGCTCAGTTATGGCAAACCCTGAAGGGGCATCTGCGCCTGAGCTCCACCTGCTCCTGAGCAGTCATCCCGAGACGAGGCGGAGTTCGAGTTCGAGGGCGACGACGGGCTGCAGCAGCTTCTGCAGGCTGCCGATGATTTCAAAGCTTCCGGTTCTACTCGGAGGCCCAAGGCAAAAGCAAAGGGCAAAGCCAAAGCTACTGCGGCTACCGCGACCGGGGGCAAGGGCGAGGGCCTTGTGATAGGGAATCAACAGAAGAAAGCTTCCGGGCGAGAAACATACTTAGGCAGGCAGTGCATAATCTGCCAGAGCGCAGATAGCTGCACCAAGAACCCGTACTGTGGGAAGTGCAAGGCGGACGTGGACGCCTTGCAGAAGTGTGCCAAGGATGACGGCTGGTTGGAGAAGTTCATGGAGGCGAAGGGTAACGAGCCTCTCCTCCGCAAGCTGGTCCGAGACTTTCAGCAAGAGAGCCCCTCCAAGGGGAAGGGCCGGCCGCGAGCGAAGTGCAGCAAAGCGAAAGCATTGCAAATCTTCTCGAACGAATCGATCGAGGATCAAGGAACAAGACTTGCGAAGTATGACTGGTTTGAATTCGAGGCGCACTACGAGTCCAAAAAACTGAGTCACCAGCAGATCGAAGAAAAATGGAGATCACGGCTGGCCAGCGAGGGGCCAGTGGATTGTCTGGGTGAGAACCCAGACTATCCACAACGCCTCCTAGTGAGGGTTGAGGACTACATAGACGCGAAACGCCGCAAGCGCGTCTCAAATGAAGTGCAGCGTGAGATGGTAGACAAAAAGATGCTGGGCGACGAGTCGGCGCAGAACTTCATGGATGGCGAGGCTCAGAATCGCCCAGCCGACTTCTTTTCTGGAGCGGCCGAGAAGATGTTCAATGACCGCGACCGGCCTGCCCAGCCTGCTAGGCGACGATCTACAGGGTCAAATGCCTCCATCTCCGCGGGGACAGATGAAGAGAAGGCCGCTGCCGGTGGCAGCACTGGCGCTGCCGGTGACCTCACGGTGTCGCGGTTGCGGGCCTTCGGGGAGCAGATCAACAAGGTCCTCACCAGTTTGGCCGCGACGATTGAGAAAGTGGACAAGGAGGCGTCTTTTTCCGTGGCGAGGGTTTCGGATTGGCTGCTCGATTCTCGTAAACTTGCAATAGGGAGCGACTGAAAAAATCCACGGCTGCAGTATGGACGTCTAACACAAATTCTTGTATTTGTGAGATGCTGTTGCAAGGGTTTCGGATTTGCTTATAGACTTGGAGTGTAAGGCCCAAACAAAACTCCACAGCTGCAGTATTGGAGCTCGATCGCTGTCTAACACAAACCCTTTCTTGTAGAACTCCAACCTGCCCTTGCAGTATTGAACCCTATGTCACAAATCCTTGTCTCTGTTTTGTTCTGAAGCTGCATTGAAATCCTTGCTTGCAGCGCAGGTCCCGACCCAACGATTAACAAATCCACAGTTGTAGCATGGAGCCTCACACACAAATCCTGATATGTCGGAAGGAGTCTGATGCAGAAAACCTTTCTGTGTAGTATGAAGCTTCACAGACGACTCCTCGGCTACCGAACGGCAGCAAAGAGCGACAACTCCGCTCATGTAGCATGGACCGTGAGACCCTGGGAGCAAGTCTCATCATGTATCATTCAGCCTCAACTGAAACTACCTCAACATGTTGATATGTACAATGGAACGTGCGGGATATACTAGCATAATAACGTCATTTCTCGGTACTCTTCCCGTTTGATGTTCCGACGGTAGCATATGCTCTTTACTCACAGATGCCGGTCATATCCTTTGCCTCCATCTCCAGTAGACTGTGCGTCTGAGACAGTAATTTTCGACCCCAACAACCCGCTACTAATTACGTAGATCGACCTCCTCACGATGGGCAGGTCAAGGACATCACGGGCGACGGCATCATTCAGGAGTACAAGAAAATTGTTGAGGACCGCGTGGTGCTGGCCAGGCTTCTCCACGATGATCTGGCCGGCGAGGATACCTGGGAGGCCCGGGATACTTTGATTCAGCAAAGCATGACGGACCAGGTGTCACCGGTGCCTAACAAGTCCTTGCTGAAAAGCAAGGGGACCGTCGTCGAGCTGCAGGCCCAGCTGAAATGCTGCAGCAGCATCGAGGAGCTCCCGAAATGCATCGAGCACATCCGGGGCTGCATCAGCGCTTGGGGTACGTTGAGCCAGAGCTTAAGTGTTGCCATGGCGGAAGTGATGAAGGCCGTCCGAGACGTGACAAAGAAGAGGAAGCGGAAGACGAGGCGAAAAAGAAAAAGGCGGAGGCGAAGGCTTCTGCAAAAGCCAAGGCGGCGGCACCAGCGAAGCCTCACACAGGTGATCATCTCTTCGTCGACGTCTTCGGCAAGCTG